CCTCGAGGTTGCTCAGTCTGCTGCAGAGGAGTTCTTTTCAGTCGTTATGTTTAACAGCCTTTTAAAAATTTACAGAAAGATAGCAAGAATAGTATAAAGAACACCTGCATTTTCTTCTTAGATTTGTTCACTGTGAGCATTTTACCCCATGTTTTACTGGTTTGTGTGTGTGTGTGTGTGTGTGTGTGTGTGTGTGTGTGTGTGTGTGTGTGTGTGAACAGCCTCATAGGCATACTATTTTATTTCACAAACTATTTGAGAGCAAGTTGCATTTATCATGACTCCTATCCCTAAGCGCTTTACTTTGTATTTCTGAAGAAGAGGGATATTCTCAATATAGTTGTCAACTTCAGTAAATTTGAAATTGAAACAAGATTTTTAATCTAATCTGTGGACATATTGCAGTTTTTCAACAGACCCAGCAATATCCTTTAGTGTAGGAGTCCCCAATGCCCAGGCTGTGAGCTGGTACCGGTCCGTGGCCTGTTAGGAACTGGGCCACACAGCAGAAGGTGAGTGGCAGTAAGCACACATTCATCTTCTGTCAGATCAGTGTGGCATTAGATTCTCACAGGAGTCGAACCCTATTGTGAACTGCACGTGCAAGGGATCTAGGTTGTGCACTCCCTGTGAGTTTGCACATCCAGAAAACCGGTCCCTAAGGCTAAAAGGATGGGGACTGCTGCTTTAGAGAATATCTTTTTCCCTTTCACTAAGGACTGAATTTAGGATCAGGTATGATCTTTAGTTGTCACATCTTTTTAGTCTCCTTTGATATAGGTCATTTTCACAGCCTTTGTCTTTTATGACATTGATGTTGTTGAAGAATATAGTCTCCTCTTTTAAACAAATAGAACCTTCCTTGTTTAGGACTTTTCTGATGTTTCCTCATGATTTGATTCAGGGTCTGCATTCCAAGCCTGAACACTATGTAGGTATTCAGAGTGTCACATTGGAAGACACACGTCTGCCTACCTCTCATTGGGTGATGGTCATTTTGATTATCCTGTCAAGGTGTTCATTTCTCCCCCACATTGTTAACTATATTTTCCCTTCTGGCAACTAGTTAATCTTGGGGCAGGCACATTAAGATCATATAAATAACCCCCTCTCCCTCAAAATTTCTTCCTAGTTTTAGCATCTATTGATTCTTCTTGCTTGCATCTTTATAAAAGGGGTCAAGATGGCATCATTGGGATGACTCTCTTCTGTAAATAAGAGTCTCCCTTCTCCCTCTTTATTTGTCTTTATTATTTGCATGAACTTTTGAATTCCTATTTTTCCAACGGTGTGTATTCCATTTTAATTATTTTTTTGGCTCATATTTGACTAGTTAGTGTCCCGTCAAGAGTGCTGCTGTGTCGTCATGACATGTCCACATTTCCCAAATCCCCATGGTCTGTCTTTCTCATTGGGTAGCCACATCATCTCCCTTGAGATACCCTTCAGGGCCCCTCTAAGTGCATTTTATATGTTGCATAGCTTTTATTTATTCTTTATTTTTTGAGTTGGAGTCTCATTCCGTTGCCCAGGCGGGGGTGCAGTGGCACGCTCACAGCCACCCTAGCGTCCACCTGCTGGGCTCAGGTGATCCTTCCACCTCAGCCTTCCGAGTAGCTGGAATCACAGGCACGTGCCATCACACCTGGCTAATTTTTCTTGATTTATTGTAGAGATGAGTTCTCACCAAGTTGCCCAGGCTGTTCTCGAACCCCTGGGCTCAGGTAATCCTCTCACCTCCGCCTCCCAAAGTGCTGGGTTTACAGGCTTGAGCCACCACGCCCGACCTGTTGCATAGCTTTTAAATCAGATTGTCCTTTAAATGTCTTCCAAATCTGGGGAGACTCTGCATTGATATGGTTGAGTGGTATGTTAATGGGCAAACAGAAAATTAATTTTCTTTGTAGTCATTTGTACATCCTCCATGTCTGTTTCCAGTAACATGAGTCTCACAGGTTGTTGCTCTGTCGTGCCTACTTTTCTTGGCTGCACCCAGTTGACCTCTGGGCCGCCCCCTGGTGCCCTCTACTGACTCTGCAGTATATGAGCACTTCTCTGGGGTTGTATGGCATGGATTTCTCTTTCTGCCTGTTTTCTTTATTTTGGTTGGTTGATTTCTTGCTCTTAAATTATTACACACATATGAACTGTACAGTGCAACTTTGTTTGCTAAATGTATCAAGAATATCTATGTAAAATATATGCCTTTTTGCCACATCACTTAATGTTTGCTTATGTTTCTATTACATGAATGTTCTCTTTAGCATTTAAATAATCTGCCTTTAGTGGGCATTTGTACATTATTTTTTACATTTTAGGTAGCACCTAAAATGAACATCCCTTGTATGCAGACCATATGTAACTTACTAAGTGGAGCTTGTTAAATGGGTAGGAATTTGACAGGTAAACATATATAAAAAGAAGACTCTGGTCCGAGAAAAGAGAAACTTGTCTAGGCCAGGTTTAGGGTGTGTCCAAGAAACAAGGAAACAGAAAATAGTTCTGTTGCCTCTTGGCATGGGGAAGGAATATGCATCCAACCAGCCAGGTTGTAAGGAGTGTCAGTCCTAAGACTGTACCTAAAGAAGGTAGAATGAAAATTTGGAGAATTACTTAAATTCTAACTCCTCACATTTGCCAATCAGGCATGCCGTGTGTGCATAAGCCAGTGTTTGATTGATTATGACCCAAACTTTTAGGACAGGTTATCCTGGAGAGAAGTGCTGTAGTGGTGTAGATGACCACCAGCAGACAGCACTTCTTACACCCATGTGCTGCTGGAGGAAGGGACAGAGACTTGGGGGGAGGGGCAGGGTCTGAAAAGCGGTGACATTTCTGCCCGAATGTTGAAAGATGAATATCTTTGGCAGGTGGGAAAAAGGTGGCATTTCAGATAGAGGGTGTAGCATGAATGTCAACGGCGAAGGTTAAGGACAAAGTCTGGAGTGGTGTGGAGTTGACTGTGGCTTGCGTGTATCTGTGTCAGTATCAATGACCTTCTAATATCAGTGACTCTAGGAAAAGGAACAAGTAAAGTAATGGAGAAACAACTTTTCTACCAGTATCTAGTGACCAAATGCAGAGAATATCAAGAGAGCAGGGACCCTATGAGCCACATTCCATCTAGTTCCAGGGTCATAATTTTGATGCCTTTCCTATCACAGAAAGAGACCGTGAAACCAGATAATTCATTCTTCCAAATAATAAAAAAAAAACTTAATTTTATTGCTAAATGTAAATAACATTAATAGTTGCCCAAACTTTGGTACCTTTTAGAGGAAAAAAACCATATTTTTTTGTTATTGTTGTGAATAATAAACTTTTAGGCTGGGCGTGGTGGCTCACACCTGTAATCCCAGCACCTTTGAGAGGCTGAGGCGAGCTGATTGAGGTCAGCCTGGGCAATGTGACGGGACCCCATCTCTACAATAAATGTTTTAAAAAATTAGCTGGGCATGGTGCCATGTGCCTGTAGTTCCAGTTACTCAGGAGGCTGAGGTAGGGAGATTGTCTGAGCCCAGCAGGTCGAGGCTTCAGTAGCTGTGATCCTGCCACTGCACTCCAGCCTGGGTGACAGAGTGAGACCCAGACTCTAAATAAAGAAATAAATAATAAACAAACTTTAAAAACTGTAAATAAAATAAAAACTTGCCACAGAGTACAACATGATGCTAATAAAAAAATTTAAAGATCATCCATTGTGTATTTTATGTGTAAAAAAAAGTCATCAGTTGAGTATAGACTATCTTGGTACGTAATTTACGCACTAGAGACACTGATTTTTTTTTTAATTGAAGTCTCACTCTGTCACCCAAGCTGGAGTGCAATGGTATGCTCACGGCCACCCCAGTGTTGACCTGCTGGGCTCAGGTGATCCTTCTGCCTCAGCCTTCCTAGTAGCTGCCTCAGCCTTCCTAGTAGCCAGCACTATAGGCATGAGCTTCCACGCCTGACTAATTTTTGATTTATTGTAGAGATGAGGTCTTGCCAAGTTGCTCAGACTGTTCTTGAACCTGTAGGCTCAGGCAATCCCCTCACCTCGGCCTCCCAAAGTGCTAGGATTACAGGCTTGAGCCACCACGCCTGGCCTGATTTTTTTTTTTAATGCTTAAACTATATTAGGTGTTGTGTTTGCTTCCAATTCAAGGAGAGTACACCTAAATTCCCTTTTTATCAGGTAGATTTGAAAAGGTAGAACATTGCCTGTTTTTGTCATGTAGTGACAGACTGTTGCCCGCTTGAAGACAAGTCGCCTGTGTTTTTACCGCTTTAGTATTCGAACCAGCAGGAACTGCAAGTGCTGTCTCTGGAGCCAAGGTTGTCGTCCTCATGGAAGGGTTCTGCTGAAAGACCTGTGCTCAAGGAAATGAATTTGGTGACTTACAAGTTTTGTTTAACAAGCTAACAGTAGCCCTGTCACTCTGCAGGGCGGGCACAGGTTTATTGCAGTGCCGCAGAGCCATGGCCTTGGTCAAACAAAGAAGGCGTAGGAAAACCTGGAAGTTGCCTTCAAAGTGGGTTTACCTCCTTTCAGGGCATGTAGCTGAAATACCATCTTTCCAAAAACAGGAGAAAAAGAAGAAAGAAAAGAAATGTCGGTCTGAAATTTCTGTGACACTCAGCCAGATTCTACATTAGATAAAGTAATAGTGGAAATACAGCTCTATTTTTATGCCAAGTTGTGCTTAGAAAGCTGATTGTGATAATAAACCAGGAAGCTTGGCTTTCAAAATTCTACCATAATCCAGAGTGGAAAAAAGTATCACCCAGATGGCATTTGCGGGCGATTACTGACGGGTAATCCTTCCTTGTCCTAGAAGATTAAGGCTGGCCTATGTTGTCGTGGTCAGCTGACTGTTTTTTTTTTTTTAATTGTGGCTTCTTGTCCTCCTTCCAGCATGTGACGTTTGCTTGAACTGTTTGTACATCTGAACATATTGCAGCACCTGGCCCTCCTTTGTTGACTGAGGAAAGTGCCCTCCCCTGCCAGGTTTGTTCACTGTTGACTGAAATTGACACCAGGCGGTGAATAGAGTCCCTCCTCAGGTTGCTGGGCTCAGTCATTTATTAAATAGGGCTGCTTGTCAGGAGGGCGTGAAGTCTCCAGAAGGAAATGCCCCACCTGGGCCCGGAAGCTGTGCCCGGAAGCTGGGGCCTCTAACCCCGGGGTTGATTTCTTCGGTGAGGTTGCAAAGGATATATGGTCAAAGTGGCACTCAGTTGAGGAAGAATATTGGGCAGTTCTGAAGCCATGCGTTCTGCGTTTGTCTGGGATGGATTGTAGAGAGATGGACTTATACGAGGACTACCAGTCCCCGTTTGATTTTGAAGCAGGTGTGAACAAAAGCTATCTCTACTTGTCTCCTAGTGGAAATCCATCTCCGCCCGGATCACCTACTCCTCAGAAACTTGGTAACTACCAATTTCGTAAAGTTGAACTTGCTTGTAATAAAAACTAGACATAGCTTGGGGTTTGCCTAGCTTTAAAATTATTAGTGTAAAAATGCACCAGGGTGTTGCTTTATTGGAACTAGCTAACAAAGCTATTCTAGATTCAAAGCAGAGTGATAGGTGGCTCGTTAAATATTTAGACTGTGTACTGGGCAGTTAGATTTTAAAACTAGTACTGTTTATATGATCATAAGAGTTATGTTGATATTCTCAGTTCATTTAGAGTTTGTTGAGCTGGTAAATAAAAGGAAAAAAGGAGGCATCTGAAGTTCTTGGCTTCCAGTTACCTAGGCAATTTATAACAACTTTCTTGATTTTTATCTTTAGTAACACGAGACGTAGCCATCTGAAGCACTGACTAAATTCAAGCTCCTGCGAATGGGTGTCCTAGGTCTTGTTATAGGATATTGAGAGAAACTTGGAGAAATTCCTAGGCAAGAACTTTTTAAAAAAGAAAATCTCAAGCCATGCTCAAGTGGCTCAGCCTGTAATCCCGCACTTTGGGAGGCTGAGATGAGTGGATTGCCTGAGCCCGCGGGTTTGAGACCTGCCTGGGCAACTTGGCGAGACCTCATCTCTACAATAAATAAAAAATTAACTGGGCGTGGTAGCGTGTGTCTGTAGTTCCAGCTACTGGGAAGGCAGAGGCGGAAGGATCGCTGGAGCCCAGCAGGTTGAGGCTGCGGTGGCCCGGAGCGGCCACTGCACTCCAGCCTGGGTGACAGTGAGACTCCAACTCAAAAAAAAAAAAAGAAAAAGAAAAACTCAAAATTGCTGTACCTTTGGAAGCAGTTATTCCTTATGCCTGCCAGTGTGAGTTTACTGTGAAGGCTAGGAGCGCCGTCAGGGATCGTCTTCCTTGGCCAGCACAGGGAGCACGGAGCAAGAGGTTGTGTCAGCCATCACCCAGGCCGTGCCCTCATGTTATAGTTCACGCTGGGGGACGGTAAATGACCTCCTCTGTAGCTTGCGGAAGAAACAACCAGGTTTCCCCAGAAGAAGTTAATGTTTTCCTTGTTAATGAAGAATAGGGCACATCCTATACTTTTTAAGATTAAAAAGCAGGAATTTAAAAAAACATGATAAAGGCTACAGCATGAAACCTAATTTAAAGTGTCAGGTTTGTGTATTTGCCTACAACAGGGAATTTCTCCTGTGCTTGACCCTGCCTTGTCTATGTGGCCCACCTCAGATCTCTGCAATAAAGGGACTTGCGCTCACTTTGCCTAGTCCTTCCCTCCTTCCCTCCTTCCCTCCCTCCC